TGCTCCCGTTGTAAATTCTTATTAGGGTTCAGGGTTTAGGGTTTAGGTTTTGGGTATATACACTATACAACATCCTGAGGGTGTTGGGGGTGGGTATCCAAAGAATGCATACGAGGCATAGTTGGAGATCTAGCGAGTGTACTGGAAGGCTTGGGACTTATCGTTAAAAGGTCAGGTGTGAGGCTTGTGAAGTCTTGTGTAAAGGGATTCAGAGCCCCTCGAATCCCGACAGCAAATCAATCAAAGCCATCTGAAACCCAGGTTCACACATAGGCTGCGTAGAATCCGGACGTAGGTGCAGCTATGTCTCTAGGCATAGGCCCCATAGTATTTCCTTTTGTGGCCTATATTTAGGATCCTATTCGGTAATCCCAAAAAGGAACTACTATGGGGCCTATGGGTCGGCTATACATCGAAGGTACCCTGGAGGCTTGCAACTTAACAGATGCTGAAGCTCTCCTTTGAGGCCGGCATTAAGACCTCCCCAAACCCTGAACCCTACGTTACTGTAGGAGCCTTAGTAATTAGAATAGGGTTTTGGGGTCCATTATACTAGAACTACAATAAGGTACCCCCCAAAATAGTACTGGTAATTACTTAGGCCCGTATATTTACTACCAAAACCTACTTCTCGCAGTTCTTTATTGCCAGTAGGTTGCTTATTCTTAATAAGGAGCTTTAGACGGCATTCTATGCAAGTTGAAGGTAGACACCAAAAGAAGTGCAGAGCGCGCCTGTCTCAGTCGCAACCTCCCTGCGGGTAGCTGCCACAGACATCGACACGGGATGCGCATTCCGTGCTCAAGGGCTTTAGGTTCAAGGCTCCCCTTTTCCTGCAGTTTGGAGTTGGGGATTCAGGGGTTATGGGGGTTGGGGTTTGGGGTCTAGGGCTGTGCTCAGGGCCCAAGTAATCATCGCCATACTCACGATGCATCAGACAAGGATTTGAAGATCTCTAATGCCCAAGTTCTGTACTCATGGAGGGAAGCCTTACACTGACAGGTGCTCTTTTCAGGGGCCGGTCCGTCCTGCGAAGGAACCTCTGACGAAATGGGATCGCTCTATCATGAGGTTAGGGCTCAGGGTTGCGAAGGTCCATGTCTAATACAGGGGCCTGAATGAATCGAACAGGGTTTTGGGGGGGTATATGATAGTAGCTTCTATACTATCTGAACCTTAGACGCATGAATCGAAGCTGTCATTGCAATCTACTTTTGGAGCCACGAGGATGGCTCGCAAGGATCCGTTCTGCTCGCAGCTTGGGGCGCTTGGGGTCGGTGAGACTTCAGGGTAAGGCTTCGAAGCAATGAGGGGCAACAAGAAGAAGGGAAATCACAATCTGGATCCGAGGTACTAGCATCTCTCTCTCAAGAATCAACCCCTGATAACAGGACTTCCCGTCCCCCATCGTGCCGGGGCGTTCCGTTCCTTGGTGTCGCCCCCTCATGTTAGGGTTTAGGGTTCAGGGTTTGGGGTTTAGGGATGTTAGAAAGCTGACGGGATCCAGCAATGGCGTGCTACTTCCTTCCAGGCTGCTGCAAACACGAAAAGCAAGCTCGAACATTGGGGCCTTAATGGTCAACAGAATAGGGCCTTGGGGAAAGTTGAAGTACAGCTGTATTAATTAAGTAACCGTGAAGAATAAGAATAGGTTACTTAAGTAACCTTAAGGAATGATGCTGTGCGTATTCATTCAGTGGAACCTTCAGTAATACTATTCTAAGACTTAGATAACTCATAGCCTGAAGGAGGAAAGTACTACTAATTGTTCTACCCCTCTAATCACGCCGGGGGGAGCCCTGACCTACTGGAATAGTGGGGTTTTAGATGGCTTTAGGGCTTTAGGGGTTAAGGGGCTTAGGCGTATGGTGTAGGGTCCGATGCTATTGGTGTTGAGGGTCTCGTCGGGCTGAGTACTCTTCGTTCAGACGGTTGGTTCCGAAGGTTCACTCTGCCAGCTGGGACATGGGAACGGGGGATAAAGAGATCTGAATAATGATAGGCAATGATAGGGTGCAGGGATTGGGGCACCAAGACCTGTTGCGTAGCGGAAGCAACCCGCATGGCCTGACGAGTCAAGGACAAGCTGGGTTTAGAACCCTGCGCCCGAAACCCCAAAGAAATGACAACAGTCCGGAGCGGCGCCGGGGACAGACCTCCCAAACAGCTGCGCCGCCACCCATCACCGCGTCCAGTGCCTGCCTGGATGTTTTGGCAAATGATTTGCAACCCAACCCGATCCCATACTTTATGCGGCAGCAAGGAAACGAAAAATACAAATCTCATTTTTGCTTGGGCGTGCGCGCATGCTACAGACCGAGAAAGCTCAGGAGCCCCAGACACGGTTTTGGGATTGGGGTCTCACTGCTGCAAGAAAGCAGTAAAGCATGGCTTGAAATAGAGGCCTCTACAACTGCATTAGGTTTACAGGGTATATCGTCCTACATACGCATGTATGTATGTATGTATGTATGTATGTATGTATGTATGTATGTATGTATACATACATACATGCATACATACATACATACATACATACGTACATACATAGACTAAGATTTTTCTTGAAGTAGACAACAGGGGAAAATGGTTTAAGCATGTTTAGGCCCTTCCTTATCTAGAAAGAGGCGATCACGAAGCCCGGGATGCCCCGTTAATGGCTAGCAAGGAAAGTCTGCCGGCTGGATTTGGGGGTTCAGGGTTTAGGGTCGGTAGGGTTTAGGGTTTCTTGGGGTTCACATTGTTGTCCCGGAAACTTGAAGCTATACAGCCCAAAACTCTTACGACTTAGGACCGATACCCTCAGAAAGCTCAACAACCCCTGAAAAGCACTCTGAACACTAAAAGCCCAAAGCCCGACACCGCGGCCAAAACCAAACCATAGGATCCTGGTACCCGGGCTTCCCTCACTGAAGCCCGTGCCAGCCCCGGCTTCATCTTTCGGCCCAGAGCCCCCCAAACACTCCTTCAACAGGATCGATGCAATATCGGGGCCTTGATATTTAGACAGAGTCATAAAGTTTCGAAGTATGTTGTAGTAGAATAACTTGGGGGGTTCCCCCAACATGTTTTTTAAACTCCGGTTTTGGCCCCCCACGCCAGTGGGCCCGGGCCCATTGTTCCACATTCCAAGGCTTGAGATTCCACGCTAAAGGGCCTGAAGTTCCACACCCGACGGCTTGAAATTCCACGCTAAAGGGCCTGAAGTTCCACACCCGACGGCCTGAGATTCCACACTTAAGGGCTTGAAGTTCCACACCCGACGGCTTAAGATTCCACGCTCAAAGGCTTGAAGTTCCACACTCCAACGCTGGAGTTTCTGTTCTCAATCGCTTTGCCTTCGAGATACAAACGCCTTCAACACTTACAATCGAAAGCTTGAGCGTCCTTCGGGCAAGCTGCGACGTTGTCCTATTCTCATGATTCATAATCATGCCAATCATGCCTGGTCAACAGGCCAAGACTGAATACACATCATGAGACAACGTTGAAGTGGAAAAAAAGACGTGAAATCCTTCAATCCCCGAGTCTCAGCCGCTCAGCCGTGTTCAGATGTGTATTGACCACTTGCTTCACAGCGCAACAACGGCCAGCTTTTCCCGAATGCTCACACTGGCTACTGAAAGCGTCTGCAGCGCACGGCGCGCAGTCGCCCCAACCTCAACAATCAGCCGCAATAGCTGTTGCTTTTAGTTCGACATGCATGCATGCACCCTTCCAGGCGACCAAAGCCCGGACCAAAGTACTTCTAAAACTCCCTGAGGCCCTGAGCCGTTTATTTTGGACCTTAAGCCGGAGCCCTTAACTTAAGGCTTAATCTTGGGTAAAACATGGAGAAGTGGAACATACAGACATGCAAGTGACTTTGCGACAAAATACTTGCTATAATTACGATGTCATAATTATGTACTACGGCACTACGCTTACTACACGATGCAGGTTTTCGAACACTGATTATTGAATTTTATTGGTTAGTGTTAGGAGCAAGAACACACATAAGACATAAGCAGCACAAGCTGCAGCTGCGAATAGTCCAACGGTGTAGTGTAGTGTACGCGTACTGCTGACAGTATCTGCTTATGGTATCCAGGTAGAACAGTCACATTTGAACAACACACGAAGTCAAATTGCATTATACTCATTCACAATTTACATCATTACACATTACACCAGTACACTTCATAATGTATATCTATATTTCAGACAGTATACGAAAATTAGAACATGTATGCAACTATGCGCAATGGTATCTTAGCCCTGCTTGGCCTCCTACAGACACGAGAGCTGCGAAGCGTAGCCGCCGCCTCTCAGCAGGCCCAAAGCGGCCTCGGCATGGGAAGTTGAAACTTCTAACTGAACGTCGCGCTATGCTCTTCACATCGTCTCACTTGCATTTTGCAGCATGGAAAGCTGCTCAGGCAAAGACTCAGTCTGCAAAGACGCGCCGAACAACACACAACATTTTTTTGCCAATGAAGCGACTACGACCTTCGTCTGCGCCCATAAAGCAGCAGCGGACAACCAAAAGGAGAAGTGGCGTGACCGTAGAGCAGTAACTGAGATTGAGAGCGTTCCCAAAATTTTTCTAGACTCTGACTCTAAACTCTAAACTCTAAACTCTAAACTACTCTAAACTCTAGACTAGAGACTCTAGGACTCTAGGGCCTCTAGGGCTAGGGTTGGTTTAGTTTCGAGTTATTCCTAGGGCCGCTCGGCCCTAGAGCAGCCAGTTATTGTACTATTTTCTTGGAGAATTGGTAAGCCTCCGCCCAAACAGTTACCGACTGGGTCACATCCTATGTGCGCAGGCGCGCGCGGCAGCAATGAACGAATGATGAAGTTGCCTCGGCCTGCGGATGCTGCAGGATTGCAAACCACACGGGAGACACATCATTCAAGCCTGTAGCCACCGGTCCCCGAAACCCCACATCAAAACTCTGGAGCTGGACTCTGGCCTGCTCCCGGTGCCGGTGTTGGGCCTCAGCCTCAGCCTCAGCCTCAGGCTGAAGCAGCGGTCTTGGACAAAAGCAAATCCAAATCTGCCGCGATCTTCACGTCGGGCTCTGACTCTTGTTTGGCTTTGATCATGAGACGTGCCCGGCGGGCCAGAGCTGGCCTTTCCTCCCCAGTTTTTAAGGGGCGGGCCATGGCTTGAACACAAGCCAATGTGGCATTCATCGACTTTGCTTTCGCACGAAGGTCGTTGTTCAAAGCGAGGCTCACATAGATCTGGTCATTCGGCTGCTTCATCCTGCCGACAATCTGAAGCAGCTCTTGCGTTTTGTCCAGGCTTTTGACACACTTGTGCAGCTGCTTGCTCTCGTCGGACTGGCTGATGGGGAGCAGCAGGTTGAGCGAGGTTTGGTCGCAGCCCTTGTCGAGGATGCTGGTCACCGACGCAATGTTTTGCTGTTCCAGCAAAGCGCCGGCGTGGTGCTCAGTGGTCTGGATAAACTTCTCCATGCACTTAGCGGCCTTGATCTCCACGGCTTCCATGTGCTTTTGCACAGCACCGCAGCTGAAGTTGGTCAAATGAAGCCGCTGTCCGAGCGACACTGCAGTCTCCGGGATTTCAACAGACTGAATGCTGGCACGGAGTTGATCCACACCACTGCGAACCTCAAGTAGGTTGTCAGCAACGCCCGCGCAGTTGTCCGGGACGAGCTCGGCACCAGGCTGGAACGCGGCGTCGGCCTTCGAGCTCAGAGTCTTGGCTCGTGCCACGAGGCTGCACATTGAAGGGAACAAACACAGGAGCCACAACGGCGCCCGAACGTTCCTGCAAGGCCCAACGGCATCACTGGCATCACCGGTTGCCACCTGGCTTTACTCAATTCTTTAATCAAGATGCGAACCAAACAGCAGGTGCCCAACAACCGGCACTTGAAACCTTTTCCTAGCGAAAATGCTATAGCACCAAGCAGCTCCGATTAATTGAAACATTAATCAACCCTTCCTTGATCTGGTGTTGACTATTGACCATGCCAATGCCCTCCCACCTCATCTTGCATCTCCGGCGACTCCGGCAAAGCGATTGCAAAGTCGCCCCCCAGCATGATCACCGACTGCAGCGCCTTTTGCATCTGCTGGCCAAGCTCTTCGGACTTGGCGTCGATCTCAAGCTTCTCGGCAGACAGATCAAGTGCTTGGGCAGAGGTACCAGCGAGGGTCGCCGTTGCTGCGCACAGCATGCCTCTGAACACTGCGGACGACAACAGGGGGGCAAAGGAAACATCCAACAGCCGCTCAATCATCGACCATACCGTTGTCTTCATTGCCGCTTGGAAGGAATCAAAGACCTCGAGCTTCCGAAGCAAAGCTGGCGGGTTTTGAAGAAGGTCGCCAAGCGCGACAATGTTGTCATTGCTGATATCAAACTGCGGGATGCTTTCCTGGGCAACCAGCGGCAGCGTGGTCCTCAGAACGTTCAAAGCATTGACGAGCTGCTCAACCTCAGACCGGATTGCACCGGTCGCCTCATCTGTTCTGATTTCACCCAAGCAGGTGATCTCGGTCTCAATGATGTTCTCAGCCGCACTCTCGCACTTCGCCACAATCTCTGAGATCTTCTCGCTCAGCTTTGCGGCCTTCTCCGGACCAGGGACCTGTGGCCGGTTTGGGGTTTGTTGACCTCCTGGTTTAGGGTTTGGGCTCGGCTTAGGGGCTTAGGGCTTAGGGCTCTAGGGCTTGGGGTTTAGGGCTTATAGGGCACTATATAGGGTTTAGTTTTAGGCTTGGGTTTGGCCTGGGCCGCAGCCAAGCACTCGCAAACCCCTTGCAAGCAGGATGTTGCCGTCGCCACAGTCATATTCCTGGCTTTGGCAGCCGCCTGCGCCTCGAACTCCTGGGAAGCTCTCAGGAAAATGATTTATCAAATAATTACAGAAGGACTGCAACGAAAATGCAAGCCCACTAGCACATACAGAATCATGGGACTTAGTAAGACTTAGTAGGCTTAGTTAGTCACCAGGGCCAGGGTTGTAAATGGGGTAACTTAAAGTAACTGTGCTACTCAAAAACATAACCCCAGTTTAACCAATTGTAAGACCTACAGTATAATAATAGCTACAATATGATTATGAGACGATACGTATAAGGTCCTTATAAGGTATTAGGCTTAGGATTATTAGGACCTATTAGGAGGCATATATAAGGTATATAATACAAGACTTATCTTATAAGTAAATTTAATATTGCATTTCAGTCCCATGATTGACTATGATCCTTCAGGTGGCGGCGGTTAAACTTGTATTGTACTTCCTGGAGGGTCGGTACAATCAACGATCAACGAACCAACGACTTTGCACCAAGGCCTAGAGAGCTAGAAACTTACGGCAAGCATTCAACAAACAGGAGTCCTTGATCTGGCTGCTGATGGCTTGGATGTGGTCATTGTGCAAACTCAAGAACTGCGCACTCGTGTTGGCACGAACGTCTGACAACTCCTCTACCAAAAGCTTGAAGCCCTCCAACTGCTGCAAGAAGTGGTCGTGAGGCGCGTCCAGCGCAGGCACACTCAATCCAGTAGACCGCACCTGAGCCTTTCGCAACTGAGATCCCATCTGATTGTCCCGCGCTCTCTGCTCCAAAGCAGTTGCAGCTTCTTGCAGGATCGCCATCCCAGATGGGAAGTTGCACATCATCTTGGACAGCTTGAGTGTCTTCTCTGACCGGAATTTCGAGGCGCTGTCTTGGATGTCCTGCTCCCGGACGGACAGGTCCATCGGGTTCAGCAGCGGCCAAAGCAACATCAACTCGGCCAAGATGGGGCAAGTATTCTCCAGAAGCTTTGACTCAATCACTGCCTTCACGAAACTCCGGACCTCCTGCACCCGACCTTCCTGGCGAAGCATTTCTGCAATGAGTCGCATAATCTCTCTTTCACAGTAGAGCTTGCGTCGATTGTCGTCCTCAATGATGTGGGCCCCGAACTCGGATCCGTCGGCCTTGGTGCTGAAAAGCAAGGTGATCACGGTGTTGAAGTCGCCCTCCTTGGCGCACCTGTCAACCTCTTTTTGCACACAGATCTCTTGGAGTCTGCTGCACACAGAGAACGGCTTGGCCAGGCAGGCGGTCTGCGACTGGGCGTCGTGCACAGCTTTGTGCAGCTCCTGACCGGAACACTTGTCGTCGTGCAGCTTCTCCACGACGGGGGACAAGAGTTCCAACTTCTGCTGGCACTCTCGCAATTTTTCCAAGATCTGCATTCCTGGAGTCGTGCAAGTGCTGTCTGTCATGTCGTACCCGGTTGAGTACAAGGTGATCAAAGCGCTCGTCAGCCTTGCAGCCACGCGGTCCTTGAGGGTGCCCAAGGCCTTCTGCTTCAAGGTCATCAGAGTGTCGTCCGTTTGGAGGTTCTCCAAGACTTGGGAAGCCTCGAGCACAATCCTCTCAGAGGTTTGGATTTCTTTCGTGGCTTTGCCATCGCCCTTGGCCAACTTGTTTGTGTTCGAGGGCCCAGGCGGTTTCGGCTGGGCCTTCGCCTTGCCGTTGCTCCTTCTCCCACGATTGCCGCCTTTGGGAGCGGGCTCTGGATCAGGGCCTTACAAACATGGCCAAGCGTCCCTAAGCAAAAAAGCTCTAGGACTCCATTCGGCCATTCGGTTACCACATACGAAGTTGGGCGGAATTGCCACAAGACTCTGGACTTTGGACTCTGACTGCTGAGTTCAATCCAGCTTCAAGGGTCCATTGATTTGTACTCGTACACGTACCGTCACCGTCACTTACCCACACAGCACAGACATTGACAGATTTCGCACCGAAACAAACATGGGGAGAATTTAGTTTAGTTTAGGGCAGTCGGACAGCCATTCCAAAACACAAAAGCGACAAAGGGCCATGAATCCGGCCTGAAGCATAGCCGAGCGGCCTCCGGAAACACTCACGTCGAAATCCATGAGGTCGTCGAACTCATCGGCCTTGGCACGCTTCTGGCCCTTGAGCTGGACCAAGGGCTGGCCATCAACTTCATGTGTAGATGCGCTGAATGAATGGGCTGCTTGTGCTGCTGCCCAGGAATTGCTCAGCTCATTCTGAAACAGGGCAGACTCACTGCTGGCAGCCGTCTTCACCTTGCATGCGCCAGACTTCTTGATGTCGTAAACCTCGGTGGCACCGTCAGGTACCCCTTTGGATTTTGGCATCAGGATGCCACTGAGTGTTTCACCACCCTGCTGGATCTTCGTAATCTCCGACGGTTTGACCTTCCTGCCCTGGACCTGCTCAACCATCTCCACAGGCCACAAGACACCTCGTACACACGCGCGTGCGCATGCACAAACACACAGTCACACACACACACACGCACACACACGCACACACATACACGCTCACAAATACACACCCACACACGTACACATGCAGACACACGCAGAAGACAGATACAACCCACTAACCGTCACTAACCACATTCGGCGGCACAGGTAAATGCAACTGAATCATCGGCTGAGGCGCCTAGGCAGGTTCGGATCTCCAGCGCCTGCTCCTGAAGGCTCAATGTCAATGTCAATGTGGGCTCCAGGAACTAAAAAATCAGGTCCGAAGCTGTCCATTTCATTAAACACTTGACGTGACTAATTCTTGGTTTGGGCTTACCACCCCCACCTGGGCAGTCTTCACCTTGGTGTCCAGGTCCTCGTCCTCTAGCTCTGGGTTCTCGGGCAACGGTTTCCCCGTTTTGCGCCTCTTTGCGTAAGAGTCGATGCGGGAAGCCTCGTACGTGTCCAGGTCGCGCTTGTGGCTCTCGTACACCTCGTCGTTATCCTGAAGCTCCTTCAAGTACTTCGATCTCTTGTCCGGGTTGATAACCAGCTCCGGGTCTTTCTTCTTAAAAACCCCAACGCAGACCAAGCACAACTGGTGCCTGTCTGACTTGAAAGCCAGACACTGCCTTGACTCGTGCTGGTGGAACGGGTTTGGAGCCGTTCGTGGGCGACGGCATGCCCGGCAACCCTTGAAAGCAGGATTACCCCAGAGGTCCGCAGGCTGTGGCGTAGTGGAACCCAGCAAGCTGGCCGCACTCACACTGGCAGCTTGGCTTGAAGCACTCATCACGATCCACCGTGACTGGCTGAAGGCGACTGGAGTCGGAGTCGGGAGACTTGCGCAAGCCGGCACTATCAAGAATCAAGCTCACAACAGTGCTGCTGAGCTTGAATCAGAAAGGCAGGGTTATTACAGCACAGGTGCCACATGAGCAAATTTGGGGATGCGCAACGTGCCGCCGCACAGGGCCACACAGCCTATCCTTGCAAGAACCACGTTCTTTCTGCAAGACAGAATGGAAGCTTTGGCTGCGGCCACTTGGCCGGGGTCCAGGACTCTATGGCCCACAGTCGTATCTGAAGATACTATCAATATTGTGGCACAGTTATCTAATTTAATCTAGACTCCTACAACAAACAGGTGCATCACAAAGCAGATTGACGTGGGCCTTGGGCTTGAGCTTCAGCTTCGATCCAGATCAAAACTTATCAAAACTTCAGCAGCGGATCCCAGCATGCCATCTGCTATCTGAAGTGCACACTTGACATAGCTGCTCACTCCTCAAAATTGAACAAGTCGTCGAGAGTAGACGATCGCGTTGGCCGGGCATGCGAGGACGTCTCGATGGGCTTCTGCTGGGATTTCTGCTTGGCCAACTGCATCACGTGCAAGTTGGCTTCGAGGGCCTTCTGCACAATCAAGCAAGCACCAAAACAGTAGGTGTTCATGGCATTGCCGGCCAGCGACCGCAAGAGATCAGAGCGGATGTCGCTCAAGCGATCATGATCAACGCCCCAGTGCAGGCCCTGAAGGTGGAGTGCCTCTAGACCGGACACACATCGAGCCCTGTGGGTGATCAGTTGTTGCCCGTGCGGGGTCACCACGTCACACCTGTTGTGCATGATTCTCTTGACATAGGACGCACTCCGCAAGCCTTGCGAGAGGTCAACGATGGCCTTGCGGCTGTCTGGAAAGCCAATGCCAAAAACTTGGCACAGGTCCAACTGTCTGTCGGTCAGTGCGTGAAGACCAGGGAACTTCTTCAGGGTGGCAGGTGATGGGGCGTAGCTCTCCCACCAGTCCTTCCCCATAAGCTCCATGGCCTTCGTATGTGTCTCAGCCCATTTGCACTTCGCGATCTTGGCCTTCGGCACCGCAGCATCCTCAGTCTCAGCCTTCCGCTTGGGGGCCCTCTTGGCTGTCCCCAAGTCAGACTCAAGCTTCTGTTGACGTCGTTCAGCCAAGTCCACTGCCTTCGCGTAGTCTTCCTGGATGAGAGGGTCCGCATCGTTCAGCAAAAAGTCATCCAGGTCGCGCATTTGGGACACAAGGAGCTTCTGCATGTGCTGCGTTGCCATTGCACGCAGCTGGTCCTCGGAAACGCCGGCATCCACCAGCTTTTGCAAGGGCAAGCACAGGAGGAACAGCCGTGGTCGGGCAACTGGCATGCCGAACATCCGGGGGTCAACCTGCAGAGGAATCATGCAGAAGCCAACCTTGCGGACAGCTAGGTCCACATATTCCATGTTATTGTGGTACTTGAGACCTGTGTCCACATCCACCCCTCTCGGGCGATCCAGGAGGCCTAAAACGTTCTCCATGATCATCGCCTGCAAGGGCACCGTGTCCTCGCACTCTGCAGCCACCACAAGCTTCTCGACATACCTCATGATGTCCTTGAACACGCTGCCTGTGCGATGGGCACCGTCCTTGACAGCAGTCCTGTTGCTTGCCTGCCGTGAAGCATTGTTGAGTTTGCTGATGTCCTGGCAAGGAAATCCGAAATACAGGTCGCTGCACGACGGAATGGTCTCGGGCTGCTTCGTGAGCACATCTAGCGCCTCCTTGCCGGGGCCACGGCGAAGCTGCTGCGTAGAGTCGAAGAGGTGCTGCATATCAACGCGATCGGGGGTCCTGGTGTACATTCGCTCCAAGAAGGCCTGTTTGGAATCGTCGTGTTCACATGAAAAGATGTGCTGCAGCTGAACGGACACTCCATACTGCTGCTGCACAGCAGCAAGAAAAGACTTCAGCACCAAGACAGGTGCGTCCGACCCGGAACACGCCGTGCCAACGTGGATCGGGGCACTGGTGCTCAGAAGCTCAGCGAGGTCCGACTGTGTGGCGGTGTCCAAAGCGGCCAAACTATGCTTCATCCATTGCTGGAACTGCTCATGGCCACCTTCTACAAAGCTCTGATGCGGCAGGCATCGGGAATCACTATCAGGAATGTCGAAGACTATCGGCTCGATGAACCGCACGTCTAGCCCACCTTCCTGCGAAGCTGTCTCTTCACTCCCCGATTCCTCTGGCCCCGTGTCGTTGCCGTTCTCGCTGCCGCTGTTGTCACCATCTTGAGAAACTTGCTCATCTTGCTGGGAATCATGTTCATCTTCCTCCTCCTTGATGCTGCCGCACGTCTCCACCGCCGCAGACATGCTGTCCTCAGCATCTTCATCTTCAATCTTGACCTTCACATTTTGATTGTCAGGAGCCGTCGGCTCCTCCGAACACGTGAGGCTCTCCGAAGCATTCTTTCTGTGCAACGGGACCTCTGCCACAAGTCCCTGTGGCTCACGCTTCACAATTCTACGCTTGGAAGCCATGCCTCACGTTTCGAAGTTCAAGACACTAACACTATGCTAGTAATCCCGGAACTGCTACGATACAATACACTTGCAATGAACTTCGAGCATATGTCAAGGGCACGTTTTGGGGATCTCAGATGGGCTGATACAATGTGATAATGTGATATGATATGTGATACATCTAGAATCTAGAATCTAGAATCTNNAATCTAGACTCTAGACTCCTAGACTAGGACGTAGAAAAGAACTTAGATTAGAGGCTTTTAAATTTTGAATGTCGAGACATATAAGCTGGCACAAACGCCACCCTAACAATCCAAAAGTTCCTGCGACTGCGCGACAGCGAGCTTGATGCATTCACAGGAATGGCAATGTGCACAACTGGAAGCTTGCGCAACTCTGCAGTATATAAGGCCACCGCCGGCCCAGCATGACATGCAACAGAAGGGGAACAAACCTGATGCCACACAGCATGGAAGAAAAGGAAGCATGCTTGGCTAAGGCTAAGGGGTGGTTTAGGGTTTAGGGT